GGAGCAAAACTATATGCCATTAGAGGAAGCAAGTTTCAAAGGAAAACAGTAAGCAAGTTTCAAAGAAGTGGAGAATTGTAAGTTTGACATTTTACATGACTTCCTACTTTGCACATTAATATTAAAACTGTTTAACTGTGATGCAAACGATGACTACTGCTGGGAAGAGGTGCTTCCTGTCGTGGATAAGTATATTGCCAACAAACCCTATTTTCTACTCAAAACGTTGGCCTTCATACCATAAAATTTGTAGTCATTGCACTGTCCCAACTGCTCAGTCTGAATGGAAGTGGTCTTCTCTGAGAGCTTTCAGTTCAGAGAGACTGAAATCCATTTACATTTGCCTAAGCTGCTGGACCAGCACTATTGCCTGCATCTCCTGCAGAGGAATGAACTAATTTAGCCACATATCATCTCCAGATGGAATAATTTACCCTGGAAAGTGACATGTGGAGATGTGGTTCTGTTTCTTCGCCTTCCTGTTCTTTCCCTCCTTGGACTGCCTTCTCCATGAAACACGACAATGTTTCTATTTGTTGATGTATGACCTCTAATTACGTTTCAAGTAATTGGAGGAACTAGAGTAACACTTGTAATTGAATCTGGTTTTTTTGTTTTTTTTTTTGTTTTCTGATAAATAAGTCAAAGAGCTTAAGCTCAGAGGCAGAAGTGCAAAAACTTTTTTTTCTTTATATGGCCAGTCTTTCCTTAGACACAGCTGTTTTTAATGAGTTGAAATCTGGTCCTTTAGCTCAAAAAAAACCCCCAAACAAAACACCACCAACCCCTCCACCTCCCAAAAAACCACAAACAAACAAACAAACCCAACAAAAACCAACCAAACAAAAAAACCCCTCAGAACACAACAAAAAAATACCAAAACCCAAAAAACGAAGCTCACATTTCTAGATGTTGACAGTGACCCAAGTGTCCCAAACACTGTTGATTCATCAAGCCATTAAGAACATGAGTCTCTTAATGGAGTATATGGTGTCTTTAATGGGATGTCTCCTGTGTGCTTAGAAACAGTTACCAGAAAACACTTGTTTAATGGCCTAAGTTATGCTGGGTTTAAAGGGTCAGGACTATTGTATTAGGGCAGGAATATGTAACACAGTTCCAAGAAATGACAAACATTTCCATTCATGTCCCACTCCCCTCCCTCACCCCCTCCTTACTAGAAGTTGCTAATGATATTGCAGCTATTGTGGAAAAGAAGAAAGATATGGACATGACTCTTACTTACATAATCCCTAAACACCACTTGTAATGTGCTATGCTAGCGTTCCCTATCTACAGATTGGAACTTGAAGAATGAGAGGGTTTTGTGCAGAGACTGAAAGCTGAGCAGAAAAGGAAAAAAAAAGAAGAAGAAAAAAATTGAAGGTGGTGATTTTATTTACAAGACTAGTTTAAAGTTTATGACTACAAAAATAAAGCGTGAATTTGCAGCAGAAGAATAGACCAGAGACTGAATTAGCTTGTGGTAGAGAGGAATATTTATAGTATTATTTAAAAACATATACATATATTTTCTGTTCAAGCTGGATTACAAATTCAGTGAGCTTAATCAACAATAGGAAAACAAGAGAAACTACTGTTTTAGCTATTGAACAGAATGCCTAGAATATTATTTAAACACATCTTAACAAGCATCAGTTAGAGAGATCACAGATCTGATGGGTAATATCAGACACAAAATGCTGCTTTAAACAAACTACAAATGCAAGATGTTTCCTCGTTTAGGAAAATTGCATCAGTTTACCAGTTTAGTTTATCAGTTTACCAGTTAGAACTGATAATCCGTTCCTTCAGAGATGTTGGGCAAGAGACTCACTAAAATCTAGCCCCAGTTTCCTATTCTGAAACAAGCTGAGCACACATTAAGAAATAATTTAATGGTCAATTGTTTGTTCACACTCTGATAACCACCATTATCATAATGCTAAACATTAAGAAAGCAATTTATTTTGAATAGCTCTTAAGTCATGACCATAAGTGACAGCAGTAGGATTACCTATGAAATCAGTTTAAGAAAAACCACCCTAATTTGTGCAAGATGATATCTTCTGTGAAAATTTCAACTGATTGGACACATGGCAGAATAGAACTTTTCATGGAAACGTCAAAAAAATTAAAAATTTGGCCTCCTCCCTCGGGGAAAAAAAATCAAAACCCAGCTAGCTAACAAGAAAAAAATCTAGGTGTTTTTATTACTAGACAACTACAAATTATAATAAAAATCATAGTTTGTGTTACATATCAACATAATACAATAGTGAACATCATGACTACCAGAAGAGCAACGCAATTGGAGCTTAAAAATTTAAGCAGTATTTGCTTGAGTTTTGCTCCCAGAAACACAAATCCTGTGGGTTCAAGGAAGAATGAGACAACCCAGCTCTTCCAAGAAGAAAAATAACAAGCGGTCTCTACAGAAAACCACTGAACATGTGGCTGCAATATTTAAATGGCATCTTTATACAGTCATGGATAATTACCAGACAAAAATGATGATTATATGAAAATCAGCTGATATTTTCAGTCAAGATTCAAGCCAACTTTGTCTCATGACACTTCTTTTTCCCCCTCCTCTTTCAGAAGTGCATTTTGTGCAGCAGCAAATTGTGAGATGAGAAATGTGTATGTTACACTCCTGAAAGTGCTGGGAATCTCCTGGGAGAAACCTGTTCTCATGAGACCCCTACAAAGACCGAGATACTTTGTCTGAACTTGAGTGGTTTAATTAGGTTAGCTTAAGTCAGAAGTTCATTCCCAGCTGTGAACTGTGTTTTACCAACCCCCACTGAAAACGTGCAAGTTACTGCTTCCTAATAGCAACATTTGTTCCTATCCAAGCACAGCTACGGCATACTGTGAGAAATTACATGACACAAGTGGGAATTAATATTGCAATTAAAGGTTTTGAGTTTTGAAAAAGATTAAATAAACAGATTTAATACACATTTTTCTTAATTGAAAACAATTAAAAAGCAGAAACAAAAATGAAGGCAAACACAATCTACAAAATTAAGAACTGATGGTACCGAGAACTTGTCTCCCAAAGGGGACCAATTGCATCAAGAAAATGACTTTAAAAGTTGAAAGAAATAGATGAATTAGTAAGTGGAGAGGTGGAATAAAAGCAGAAAGAAACTGGGAATGAAAATAACTAGAATTTGTATTAGATGCAGTAACTTAGATCATGTTTTTGTTGCCTTTCTGTCTGGCAAGAAAGTACTGCGCTTACATTAAGTAAGACAAATGCAGTGAATAAATGAAGTGTAGAGCCTGGGAAAAAGAAGTAATAATTTGTTGGTTGGTTTATACTTTGCACCCTTGAGAGTAGCACGATGCTACATGTATACCAAAAATCACTTGTGAGGGAAGCGTTGGAAGAGGAAATTGCTGTGGGGCAAATTTTAGGCAGAATGGTAAGATCTGGTTAAAACCATCACTGAGAACCCAGAAGAAAATACAATGTTCAATCAATCTGGCAGTCAGGCACAACTGATTAAGGCCAAAGAAAGAATCCTATTCCAGGGAGACAAAAGTCTCTCTCTAACTCCAACTATGGAAGCAGAGGAAATGGTAATCTGTTACCATCCAAAACTGTGAAGGTGCAAAACTAAACAATCCCAGTTTTGGGGGTGCAAACCAGAATTCTTTATTGAACAAGCAATTTGCAATATAAGGGACCGGTGGGCGAGACATGTTAATGAGGAGGATGAGTTATGCTAATTAGGGGCAGATTATGCTGACTAGAGGATTACACAATTCTCAGTTAATAATGGCCAGTCTTCGCAAGCGAAGATCCGGGGAAGGTCTTTCCACCTTCCAGCCTGCGCATTGGATTTTTTAGGTGAGACACAGTGTGCGCGGAACTGAGCCCACCCTTTAATCCTAAGGTTCATCTGCCGGGGCCAAGTGAGCTTGGACAGTGGCAGTGAGGTCCTTAGGACGTAGGTGGGTTGCCTTTAAGGGCTAACGAGCCCCACCTGCCCGGGAGTGGCCCTGACTGGGAATCGAACCCGGGTCTCCGCGGTGATAGCGCTGCGCCTTTACCACTAGACCACCAGGGGCTCCTTACAATTCTCGGTTACAGTTACACAAACTGTTAATGTTTTTCTGTAGGGAAGAATCACATAGGGGAAGAGAACAAAAGGGGTTTCTACACCGTTTTACGACATCATTACAAAACCTTCCCATATCTTGTTAAGGCAGAAAGGACAATCAAACTAATAATTGTTAACTAGCTAATTGTTAACAGGTACAGTCTTGTGATATCTCTCATGGTGTGGCTTTAGGCTCTCAAAGCAAAGAGCTTTCCCCAGCTCCCACTGTCCATGGTTTACTGTTTAATCCTATCAGTTCTCCTTCTGCTGACAGCTGAGTTTCGGATTCCAACACAAAAGGACTGCAAAAATTTCAGTGTTGGGGTCCACATAATGTCAGGGACGAGAACTAAAGAAGCATAAAGGATGTGCACAAACTGTAGACTCAACCATGCAAAATCCCACAGAAAACTGGAGGTAAGACAGCCAGGAATGCTGGCCTGGATGGGATGCTGGGAGCAGATTCAGAGAAGAAGTAATGGTATTCTATGTCCACATTTAGATAACTACATGACCTCTAAGGCCATACATGAACCTATCAGGGCAACACAGGTTCAGAAGAGCTTATCACCATGTTAACCCTCTGTTTTCCTCTTCCATTTAAGGTGTTGCTGAGACACCAGAATCCCACCTGCTGAAAGTTCAAACACATTGATCCAAATTTAGTTAGCAATAATGAGGGAAGTGGAGAAGTTCAAACAGGCACAGCATTTGGTTGCAACGCTCACAGCTGTGAAATTGGCATTTTACACAATGCTGGGCCACATGATGGTGTACTGGGATGAATTTAACTTGATGAGCAGTGGAGAAAAAGGACAGGCTTTGTTAACAAGACAGGAAGAACAGCAGGACTAGGAATTGCTATTCACCAAAAAGTCCAGTTACCTTTCCTCACGGTCTGTGAACATCTGCGCTGATCTGAAATCATGTTGATTTGACCATGTGCCTGAAACACAAGTAATTAAGCAGAACAAAATAAAATCATAGAATGGCTTGGGTTGAAAGACACTTCAAAACCTACCCAGTACTGCTAAAGGCAGGGACATCTTTCACTGGTCTAGGCTGCTCAAAGTCCCATTCAGCCTGAACGTGAACACTTCAAATGATGGGACATTCACAATTTCCCTCAACAACCCATTCCAATGTATCACCACCATCACAGCAAAGAATTTCGTCCTTAAGTCCAATTTAAACCTACTCTCTTTCAATTTAAAATCATTGCACTTTGTCCTGTCACTATAGATGTTGGTAAAAAGTCTCTTTGTCTTTCTTATGTCAGAAGACTTTTATGTATTCAAAGGCTAAAATTTTCCTACTTGTGTACTTCGGTAACCATACTGTCTCACCAATCATTGCCTTCAAGTAATGTTCTACAGCCTCCCCAAATTTCACATATTGAAAATTGAACTTGTGGTGTTCAAGTCTTCATAGGAAAATAGTAAAGTGATCAAGATTTCTTTTTTTTAACGTTATTGATTTCTGCTAAAAGTTACAAAGAGGTCTGATGTGTGGTTTTTATAAGATGTTTATGTGTTCTCTTTAGATCTTTAGATTTCTGGTTCTCTTAGCATCAATAAAAACACACTGACATCAGCCTTTCTAGCCTTTCCAACTACTGTTCTGTAAAAAATGCATTAAAATAATTATGCTGTTGATTTTTTTGTTTGTTTTATGGGGGGACATATCTGAGAAAAATTTTACCTTTGCTCTGCCTACAGATTGACTTTCATTTACAGGGGAAGATTAAGAATTATATTTCAAAGTTTTGATTACAAATCAAGAAGTTTTCCATTCTATTTAGAAAAGCCACAAGAGCAGGAAATAACGGCTACCTTAATTTTTCAGTCAAACTTAAAAATGACATGCATATACATAAATGTGTAAGATATAAAACTGATAAAAATATTAAATTCAGCTACAATTTCTCCCTGTAAAATAATACAATCTGTTGAGATGGAAGACTGGAAGCAGGATGGGAAAAGCCCACACAGAACTATCTTTCCATTGCTAAGAACAGGAGGAAAAACCCCGTGTCAGTACCAGAGTTTGATAAATTATACAGATTCATTCTTAGATGTTACAATACAAAGTTTCTACTCCTCTTTCCATCTACTGAATGCCATTCATGATCATGGTTTAACCCTCTTTAAAATTCTGAAAGATAGAATGACTAAGAAAAGCCTTTCCAATGGTTGGGTTGTAAATCTCAAGGACTTTTATCTGTTCCAGACCTTTTTTTTTTTTTTAAAATCTTCTCTTTTGGCAAGTCTGTCAGCAGAAAACTGGCAACAGAGTTGGTACCACTGAAATCTTGAAAAATGGTAAAAAGCTTCAGAAACTAAACACAGTCAAAACATTGGCACACAAATTAATATTTTCAAAGCATAAGTAATTTCATAATAATTTCTAATGATCTCCTGCAATCAATTACACCAGGAAATCACACTATAACATTGCTGGTTGTGACCAGGCTGAATTTAGTGGAAAGTTTCCTGTTGATATGATGGGAGTTTGCAGGGCAGCCTGAAATCCCAGGTGTTTTTGGAAGTGACCATGTTTTTTGGGGAAAAAAAAAAAAAAAAAAAAAGTTAACAGCAGAATAAAATTTCTCCTTGCCATACAGCTCTTACTTCAATAGTATTGCTAAAATTCCCTAGATCAAAACTCCTAGACTGTTCCATAAGATGGAATGCAGTGTTATTGCACTCCAGATGCAGACAGCATTGCTATAATTTGGAAGTCAGATGGCATGGTGTGTATCCTGATGTAAAGTAAGGTCCATTCCATTGTAAAAGATAATGCATCTCCTTAAATATTTATCTTTATATCATATTTATAGAGGGAAGATACAGAAACAGGTGTGGTTTATCTAAATCTCAATTAGACAGGCAGAGTTTGTTTTATTCTGTGATCGAATGCTTCATTCAATGCTACAAAGCAAAAACTAAAGGACAACCTGATAGATTTTCCTGCAACCTTGCAAACTTCCATATGTAGCCTTACATCTAGCTAGGCTGAAAAAGAGCAAATGATAATTTCTTCAGCATCCAGCTCACTGCAGTTTGGGAACAATGGGCTTGTGAACAAAATTTAAGTCAAATTTTCCTTACATCACAATGGAAAATGCATAACCTCCTGACTGTGCCTCTCAGACAAGACCCTGCCACAAACTATTCAAGTGAAAAAGGAAGAGATGATTCTTAATTCTTTACCATATTGTGAGGAGGAGAGAAGGGCTGACTAACACAGCAGAGCTTTTCAAGAGTGCTAATGAGATTTATGCAGTTTTACACTTCCACATGGCCAGCAGGCTTTGGAAAGTTGTGTTGCTTAAGTGGCTGGTGCAGAAAGTAGGAAAGAGTAGCTGACAACTGAAAACTCATCTGAGAAACAGAGTGCAAGGACAATGAGGGGGACAAACTGATCCACAGTCGATTCTGAAGTTGTTGTCCAGTTACTCCTGGGTCTCAGTTTGTCATCACCCACACCACGTGTTAATTGTAGGTGTGTCTGAAATGCACACCATTCATTTTACCATTTTGTCTACTTGTCCACAAAATCCAAACATGTGTCCTAAATTCCTCACTCCAGGGGCTGCTAAATGACACACAACTCTCAGAAACCTTCTGATTCAAGTTCCACAATTTCAGGTGCTTCCATGTGCTATCACTCCACACCTGAGCACATAGGACGTGCACTCGATCGCGTGCTAGAAAACAGCATTCTGCTGAGCTGCACCAGAATGTTTTGAAAAGGAAACAAAAGCAAAAGGCACCCAGAGTTTAAAGTTGACTTATTCTGTAGAGAAGGTGCAATCTGTCCTTGAGGAGGGTATGGATGAGAAGTGGGGATTTAAACAGCCCTGCACTACCTGGGTGCAATTAGCAGGGTCTGTGTAGCCACAGACTGGCAATCAGGAATGCAAGCTGCAGTATTACAAGGCCACAACCATATTCAGACACGAGTATATTATGAATACTATAGAGATATCCTGTCATTGTAGGAATCAAAACTGGTTTTTTCCAGTGGTGGTTAAATGCTTTTCAGTCTGGCTCAAGGCCATTTTATGTCATTCATTCTTTCTCTGGAAAGATTACTGTGGTTAACGGCAGAGTTGCAGTAGTTAAGACTAAGAAAGGAAAACCAATTTACCTTGATTTCAATGGTTTTGCTGTTGAGATTCTTGTAGTAGTTACATCACAAGAGTGCAAATACTTGTCCCATTGGACGTGCCTTCTGGCTATTTCACACATCCTCAGCCGCAATTCCAGCCAATCCTTCCTTAGCTCGCACAGCTGGCGAGGGGTGGGGGGAGTCCTCAGGCAATCCCTTAAATCCTTCCCTGCCTTTTACAAGAGGTCAGAGCAGAGGTAGCAGCCAGTGAAAACCTCATCTTCCACAAGTTTGAACAATTCTGTGAACAACAAACTTGGGTCTGATTGCTCAAAGGATTGAGCGTACTGCAAATGAAATAGTGATGTAGCTTACATTATTTTTAAATTGGAAGGGAAAATATAATTGAGGTTTAGTTATTTTCTCATGAAACTTTAGTTATTCCAGTGTAAAACTGAAATAATTACGTCCACAGTATTTGTTGTGACAATCTTAATATGACAGACCCTCCTTTGATGTTCAGTGTTAAAAAGTCAAATCCTTTCTTTCACCCCCTGAAAATACATTTCTTTTAAAATAGCAAATGCTCAGTGTGTCCTTTAAAGCACAAACCTGCAAAGGGAAAGAAAATCTGAAATAATTATTTTTAATAAGATGAAGCACCTAGAGACAACAAATCACACAAAAAGCTTTTTTCCTGGGAATAACTTCTATTAATTTCAGCTTTTGTTGAGAATTCAGTGAACTGAAATTTCTTACATAGTTTGTTCAATTTTAGCTGATGTACATAGAAATTTTTATTTGTATTGTAAAATAGAGCTGCCTGAACAAAACAACATATTGATGTTATCATATTTTATAATGACTCTGTGGTCCCATGACCAGAAAGAATTAAGAAAACAACTAAAATGTCAAGTGCTTATTGTCTGAAACTTCCATGGGAATTAACAGCTCTGAATTTTTCAATAAATCATTTAAGGAGCATGAAATTTGCCCATAAACACAAACACTTACAAATCTACTAACTCTGCACGAGTTAGTAAAACTTTCCTTAAATTCTTTTGGCAACTTAAAACAGATTTTTAAAATAAAAGAAGAGTAGAATGATGAGAAAATGAGACTGAGAAAATGGAAAAGAAAACCCTTTTTCTTCCAAAAACTTGGAGTAATATACCGTTTTAAATAATCATTCAAACACATGGGAAGGTGTTTCTCTTTTCTAAATGTACTGAAAAGAGTCTATCTATAACTAGGTAATAGAAATTCCTATTGCAATGAGACTGGAGTATGATGATTTCTTTCCTGATTTTGTATAAATAATAAAGGACTGCTATGAGTGACAGTTTTCCTGCAACTAGCTCAGGAGCAAACAAGAGTAGCAAATAACACCATCTAATCTGGAGAGAAATATATTTCTGTTCTGAGTAGGTGTTTAAATTTTTTTAAAGATCAGTTTACTTTTATTATAGGATTCAATTTTTTGTGCCTTTTTTGAATATATTACTTCATGGGAGATCAAAAAAATATATTTTTATTTATAAGTCTTTCATCTGTGCTGAAATCCACAGCAGCAAAGTTGTTATGCTTTGTGACTGAGGCAGGTTTTAAATCAGTTTATTCTGAGTCTTAGGAGACAACAATTTATCAAGCAACATAGTGATGCTTTTATAATCTGCAACTCTGCTGACAAACCCTGTACTGTAAAATACAATTCCATTTTTTTAATGCCTTCCAGTTAAATTAAGATACTTACCACCATTGTGAAAAATGCAGCACACCCACCCAAATAATTTCTTTTCTTCAACTCTGGTTCAGTTCCACATACCAATTGATTGGTCCTAGGAAAACCCCTTGATTATATGTGAAAAAAAATGCATCCTTTTGACTGAACTAACTTCTTTAAACTAGAGAAACACGAGGCAACACACCACTTATCATCACCTTAAAAAATCGCACATTACATCATCTTATGGTATGACTTTAGGGGAGATAAGGCAGTTTTAATTTTAATTTGATTTTTAAAGGCAACATAGTTTTACTCCAAACATCTGCTATAAAACTACAGAGGATTTATCTTAAGCAGCATTTTGACACGAGTTGGACGCATGAGTTTTTCTGAAAACAGAATACAACTTTTTTGAGTGGTCATTCTCCTTGATGTGTTTAGTTTTAGCCACTTGTCCAACAGAAAAGGCCTCCAAAAATCACGACGGAGAAGGGAGAAAGGATGCGCTTTATTTGAGGCTTGAGGATGGGCAACACACAGCAACACTATTAACACAGGTTTATATGTCAGCACTTATCAGGAGAGCGCCTACACCGATAAGGACTTGCACCAAAGGGAGAGAGAAACTTCCTCTCTCCGTGTAGGAAAAAGAAGACATAAGTGCTGAAGATCTGTCAGGAAAAGAACTGCCTGTGTGTTATTTGTTCCTTCCACTTTCAAAGAAAAGATGAGCTGAATACATTCAAGTCATAAATGGCTTTCCCACACCATATACATGTACGTTATTTGGCCACTGAAAACGCCTTTGTCTAAGTGGAAATCATCTGGCACGATGACAGCAAGAGAGAACAACAGGGTCATCCTTCATTGAGGTAGACACTGCACCTAAATTCCTGCAACAAAGCAATGGTTGCTGTCTGTAACCAAAGGTACCTGTCAAGCATAAAACAGCCAGTTTTAAAACTATCTAGGTGACAATAATGGCAAGAGGAGTGTTGATCTGCCTCCAAGACAAACTGTTCGAGGCCTCTAAATTCTGCCTTGCTCCCATAAACAGACATATGGCAACATGAGTCTTTAAGTGTATGCATTTCCTCTAAGCTTTTCCTAAAGAAAAAAAAAAAAATTGACATTATTTGTTTATTTATAGATTGTGCCAGTAAAGTATCAGTCTCCTTGTGTATGATTTGGGATCCCATGATTCCTGAACATTTAGACATTGGTTGGCACACGAAAATTCCTTGTGATGGCTTTCTGCCCTCCTGCCCCACTCCCAGAAGAGCCTAAATAGGTAAAAACATTCAAATAGTAGATAAAACTATATATTTATAAATAAATAAATAGAACAGCTTGCAAAATCCTAATGGTATTTGTAATGGCCAGTTAATAAGTCATATTTGAAACTGCATTTTTGGTCATTAAAAATTTGTCATGCTACAAAGGTAAAGGTATGAGATTTCTCAATTAGGTTTAACTGTTTAATTTATCAAGCAGTGAACATACCAACAAACATGTTTTAAGAATTTTCTTTCCTAATAAGAACAATGCAGCCAGGAAATTAAAATATTAAGTAAGTGATGGGAAAGTTGCAGTATTTTAGTCTCCCAGTGACCTCTTACTGGATATTGATCTGGGAAACTTATGTTCTGCAGCCTGAGACATGAGAGAACATGTCTTCTGCTCTTGTAGCTGCAGCTTGGAGTTGTCTTCTTTGACTTGTACTTTTGGTACTAAAATGTTCCTTCTGTTTTTGTCAACAGATATTCTCCATAGAATGGAGAGTAGAATAGAATTGATGAAATTCATGATTTCTCTGACCTCTCCATGAATGCAAATATTATTGTCAACTTTACAGGACCTGAATAACAACTTCATTTCTGATGTCATCATGGACAAGAACGTAAAACCCAGAGATTTGCTTTCAGACCCTGTGGTCGTATTCACACATGCCCCCTTACTCAAACACTCCCTTTTATCACCCTATAATTCTTTTTGATCTATGTAAGGAAGAAATGTTCTGAGGAAGGATTTACAAACCCATTCAGGTTTATTCAAAGACACTCAGCTTTGTCACCAGTCCTGTTTTGCCAATTTTGTTAAAGTCACTAAGGAAAAGTTCCAGTGAGGAGGAGAACATTTCTGTTGCCCAAGACAAATTTGATGACATCAATCTCTTAAACCAATAAAGTCCACCACTTAAAGATAGACAATGATATTGCAAAGGAGCACACACAGTTAGCAACCAGAAAACATCATTTGCAGAGTATATGAAATCTCACTGACCATGTCAAAGGCAGAACTTGTGTGCTTGTCGCTACCAGTAGATAGTTTAAAGCTTAGTGCATTAGTTAATACCTAGCCCACTCCTCTAACATGCAAGAACAAACCAGAAGATTCAACCCAGAATCAGATAAAAAGCTTTGCACTTTTCTTCCCCTTCACCATTTCAAGTAATATCTCCTTCTAGTCCCTTTCCTTCCCCTAGGAAGAGTTTAATGTCATTAAACTCATCAAGAGGTCCTGAGCAAGAATACATTGAAAGACTGGTCCTTGCTGACACTGTGCATGAACACACCGGTAAAGACTCAAAGCTTGTATAATCATAAACTTTTTAATTAATACAATTTCAAATTCTTTCTTCATTCCATCAGCAGATGGTTTTACTTATGTGTTGTTGCAACATGCTCCAATATAAATCAAAATAATTAACAGCATATAAATTATTACTTAAGTGAATTGTCAACACTTTCCACACCTATTCTTTTTCTTTTTTCTGTGATGGAAAATTGAGCAGCTGACTTGTAATTAATGATATCAACTATAAAATATCGTATGTGATTAGATAGTAACTATATTTTTTTGAAATATGATAGCTGGGATGATTTAGCCATAGTTTTAATTTGTTAATAGAATTACAGTTCTGCTGTACTGTTTTTTTGGCATGCAGTAGTGTGTGATAATAATCCTTGTTATTTTCTTATCTAAGAGAGCAAATTGCATTTTATAATCATGACCAAACTATCTCAATTTTTTATTCCTCAATTTACTCTTCAATATAATGGATATGAAGAGCATTTGGACTCACAGGCATAATCAGTAAATAACAGAAAAAGTTTGCAACAGACACATACAGCAGAGATTTCTTTTCTAGACCTACTTCACTTTAATTCTTATTTATTTCTCTGAGTGCTTCTTGATACAACAGAGAAAGATAACTAATTAAGATTAAGATTAATGAATTTTATTCCTACACCCTTAACAACAGCATTGCCCAGAGAAGTTCAAAGGTTGCACATTTTGAATACATTGTGCTCAGAGCTGCTGCATGAAGGAGGAAGACAGTTTCATTACTTAGAGGCTTTCTCGTCAAGAACTCTGTTCAAGAATTGATATCAGAACAGTAATTTTACAGAAAAAAAAACCAGT